GAGAGAGAGAGAGAGAGAGAGAGAGAGAGAGAGAGAGAGAGAGAGAGAGAGAGAGAGAGAGAGAGAGTTCTTCTTCTTCCTCTTCTAAGTCCACCATCTCTTCTTCCCCTCTCACCACCTGGCTTCTCAGTATAAGCGGACTACTACAGAGAGAGAGAGTTGTGACTTGAGACTTGACGACATTGGATCCAGACTCGACATCGGGATTCAGACATTTTGACGAGGGACTATTTTTGGGCCTGTGCCGAAGACTTGGTGTTGACGACATTCCCATCTTCCCCTCTTCTTCGTCTAACCCCCCTCTTCTTCGTCTGTGTATGGTTGGGGCTGGCGCATTGGTATCTAAGTTTTCCGCTGCGCTATCTTGTACTTTGTGAGAGAGGTCGGTTCTTGTTCTGGTCTGCACCTTTACAGTATGCAACACCTGATCATCGTCGAAGCCAGACTCAATCCAAAGAAAACTATACGCCCCCAGCAATATGCCCCACCAGGAAGAGATGTACTCTCCATCCTTGACTCGTCTTGGCAGTGATATCTCTAGTCCACCCTCGCCCTCAGTCGACAAGGCTATATTGGGATCTTCCCTGGCGTACGACATCTCTGCTCACCTCAATTCTCTCAAGCTCCTGCCCACAAAAGCAAACGTCCACCAACGCTCTCATCGTTATACAGAACTCCTCCCTTATAAACAAAGTACAATTCACATCCTTTGTTTAAACAAAGTACAATTCACATCCTTTGTTTTCTAATATTGCTCATACTCTCCTTCACTGAGGACCTATCCTGCATCACACTTGCCTGTCATATCCCACACGCAACTCAAATACCTCAACTAGCACGTGGGTAGACATTAGCTTATCCACGGCCGAATTCCCTAGTCAAGACAAAGAAGGAATCAGAATCTTTGACCCCTGAGCCATATCCCACCAACACCCCCTTAGCTTAGATTACCAGGCTTGCCAACAACTGGACCTAAGCAGGGGTCTATGGCTTTGACCCTTAATTAGGGAAGGGCCCACCTACTCTTAACGCATGTGTACCATGACACTGTTATGGGTAGCTAAGTGGTTGTGCTCAAGTACCAAAGATTCTTGCTCGTGTAACCGAACACGCAGAGTCGCATCAAATGCAAACGACGGTCAATCTAAGGCATTCGATACGCATAGCGTCGTCCGAATCACTTTATGATACCCCGTAGTGCAATCTCATTACAACTCTCAAGACACCACTCGTCACTCACCTATCTAATGTAATTAACAAAAAAATTCGTTTTGCCAGGATCATCAGCCTGCTCTAACCTGGGTTCATCCACTAAGGACCCCGGTAGGCAGCCGAGATCCCCGGCAGCCATCACACGTGGGGCTAGGCTCCGTCGTGGCTGCCGCGCACTCGGCTCATGACGCCAAAGTCGTACCACCATCAAGCCCATGCTAACAGCTGCCGTTCCAGAGCTACCTTCTTACCGTTTCGGTGGCGGAAAAAGACTTTAGAATTCCATTTCTAAATGCTATAATGTCCTTGTTGTTTCGTGGGTAGGACATATTCAAAATACCCTGCGATACACGTAGAATACGCGTAACTTGGGCGTAATAATTACTTTTATGAACATATTTCTCAAGATTTAGAGTACAGTGGATATATAAGAGACCAAGCCTTCAATTTCCAATTCATTAACCGAGCTATATATTCCCAGCTTGCTATGACCGTACATGTACCACGTATTAGTTTTGCTATTAAATTCAATTAAATCTTTCAAGAGTGCAGCTATAATGGCACCAGCAGGTGCGGGATCTATTAAAGTAGTATTTCCTTTGTACGTTTTAAGGAACTCCTCTCAATCTTCGTCAGCGCCACACTCTGTTTACACATGCCTCCGTCGAAGCCAGGGAAAAATTCCTACTGGCGGCCAAACATGACAAGGGGCTCTGCCGCAGAGTGGCCTACGTGGCTCCAGGCGTCTATTAGAATAAATAAATAGTACGCTGGTCACGGCAAGCCACCTCCGTGCATGTGTGCGTGCAACAGACAGACATTTCAATAAAAAAAAAGAAAAGATTTAACCCAGATACTTAATCAAAAATAAAAAGCTCTCCGGCAAAAATGCCGGTTCACATTATACCAGGAAGAAAAAGTTACGCACGCCTCAAACTTGCGTGCCCACGCACTCTCTACTCCCTTTAAACAGTCTCACACTCTTAGTCACAGAAAGAAACCGCCCGCGGCTCGCGCATCGCTCCCAACTTTCAAACCGAAATCCTTTTCTGTCACCTGCAGAAACTAGGGCGGATACCCTTGTAAGGGTATTCGGGCTGACAGCGCCCTCGTGAGCGGATGAGGCAGAAGGGCAATGTTGGAGCCACAAGCCTCCTTCTCATGTTAATATGGCTGAAATGAACCTCCTAGTTTAACACCAATGAGTGCACAAATTCACACCATATGCATGTACGAGTTCACGTGAAATTCACACTGGAGACCAGAGAGATGAAGAACAGGTAGCGCAGCTTATCTTTTCCAGAAAGTATTACAAGAGCAATAAGAGTTCAAGTCACCAGCGCTCATCAGCGCGTGCCAATAGGTAACCAATAATCAGCATAAACTCTCAGGTAAGTATCTCTTCCCCTCTGCTCTTCCCTCTTATGTTTCTCTCCACCTAGCTGGTCTTCTCCCTAGCTATGATCTCGCTGTGTCTTCTCTCCCTACATGCATTCACACTCACTATCTCCTACTTCATGGATCTATTCTGAATACACCCACTGTCAACCCTACTAACCCCTCTGGAGTCTACTACTAACAACTAGCACTAACACTTCTGCACTGGCGCAGCTATGGCTGCCTTCTCCCTGCCAGTGCTATCTTCCTCTCTCTCCCTCACTTAGCGCAGCACTCTGGCCTCAGCGCGCTGCTCCTCACTTCAGCGCACAAGTGCACCAGCACGTCCACACTTCTTGCGAATGAGCAATCTGCCCGAATGTGAGGCTGGCCGGTCCTTTTGTAGTCTTGGTTTGCACTTCAACTCGTGCCAGCCTCTGTTTCTTGGGTCCTGACTGGTTCTGGTACCACATCCCCACGGCCTGTCTGCTTCTGAATGTCAAGGCCTGGAACCTTCCCGAAGTTCCATTGGACTGCTGCTGCTTGGGCCTTTGAGTCATGACTTTTCACTTGTGAATATGACTTTTCACTGTGGACAGTGACTCCTGCCTGTGGGTCACGACGTTTGCCTGTGATACTGCCTTCTACTCATGGGATGTGACTCTTCAATATGACTTTTCATTAGGAAACGTGACTCCTGCCTTTGAGACATGACTCTTGCTTGGTGAATCTGCCTTTTCACTCGTGGGATGTGACTCTTCTGAATGGTTTTTATTTTGAGACATGACTCTTGTCCCTGAGACGTGACTGTTTGCTGGGTGCCTGTTGGAACAGACTGCTGAGGTACCCGATTGTGGCTTTCCTGAGTTTGACAAACTCAGCCTTTTCTTGACTTGGGCATCTGACCCTGAGATCCGAATTTGGGGTCTGAATCGTGGAAGGCCTTTCATGGCGTCCTCCGTGAAATGTAACGACTCATGCACTTTGTTTACCATATAAGACTACACTTGCCTCACACAGTGTCTTTAGCATATCAGACTACTACGCTTGCCTCACGCAGTGTGTCTACTCTATCAGACTATGCCCTGTTGACGCGTTTGGCAGTGGGCACATTCGTAACACAGCTTTGCCAATTCCTGCGGTTGGCTGTAGTGAAGTGAAGTTCTGGCTCTTCTGCTACACTTCATTTTCTACTCCTGGCCACCATACCTGGGATATCGATCACCTCCGTTTGGAGGAAACATGCATTGTTTGTATCAGTGTGAGAGGTGTGATCCTATCTTCTAGGCTGTGTTTCGGTGATTTTGAGGGCCTGTTGAAGTCTCTCTTCTCCTTGTATCTGAGTGCTGGATGGTATGTCGAATGCGGTATCATCGGGATCCTGTTGATTGGCAGGCTAGTGTTGGATGGTATGTACCATATATCAGGCTAACAAGATCTGCTTTCCATTGCAGCTTTGGACTCACCCATCAGGCCTAACTTTGCCCTGCGACGTGCTTTGTTTTGTTGGTGATGTGCATGTTTTGTGATAACCAAAGAGGCGGAAGAAGAGGAGCACTTCAAAAACGCTTCCTTTGGACGATGCATCAGCTGTTGGAGAAGACAAGGTGAAGAACGAGAAAAACAATGACTCTGGCGACGAGTTGGAAATAGGTAGTTGCCAGTATGAAACCTCGGATTGCGATGACCACGATAATGGCAGGTCTTCAGCTCCTGCCGAATGCACAACCCCCTTCTCCTCCTCCTCTACGGCTGCTGCTGCTTCGCATTCGAGACAACATCTTGGACAGGCAACCTCCACTCCTGTTAACAATGCATCTGAACAACATGTTCCCGATCCCAAACCGAGTACTGACCAGCTTTCCGTTCCCCATAGCAGCATCATGCCCGTTGCCGCCCCTGGGATCGGCACCCACACTGTGGAGCCTGCTACCGCTCCTGCCAGGAACGAACCGGCCGACCAGTCAGAATCGGAATTGGAAATGCCGTCCTATTGCTACAGCCGACCTCAGTCTTCTGTCTCTTCACCACGCACACAATCCTCCTCTTCATCCATTCCGAGCTCAGTGATAATAGGAGCAATGTTAACAACATCAGAGGCCTCTGTGACTCACATGTCAACTGCCTCAGATCTGGCTGCAAAACAGACAACTACTGAGAATCCCCTGACAGGGGTGTCCTCTTCATCTGAGCTCTCGCCGTTTTTGCCATCATCGCTGCAGCCACTTGCCCCGTGTGACCTGTCCGGCACGACTGCTCCCGCAGTATCAAACGTTTCCTCCCCGTCTCCTTTTGCTCCTACACCGCAGCCGCCTCCTCCTCCTCCTCCACCTCTGCCGCTTTCTGCCTTCTCATTTCTTCACAGCAGTCCTCCTTCTCCTCCTACTGCGACAGCTGCTTCCACCCTCTCTAAAGAAGAGGCCTCCCTTCCTTGTGACTCATGCACACCAGCTTCTGCTGCTTCCACATCTGTTGCTGAAAGTCAAGCCGCGAGCTTGACGTGTACCATGCCAGCTCACGACGAAAGCCCACTTGGCGGAGATGGCAGTGGAGGACCTCCTCATATCCCTTCAGCAAAGATTGCTGAGGCTATGGTGAACGAACGATCCGTGCATGAAAATGTACATGACGCTGCTGTTGCCGATGCGGCCGCTACCATCATGCAATCAGCATTCAGAGGTTATCGGGTAAGACCTTGCTTCCTCCTCTTTAGAAGCAGAGACAAACATTGGCCACTACTGCAAGTGGTTTTTCCAGCTCGCCTTTCCTTGTTCGCCAATGTCTCCTCCCGTGATTAATGATCTTCTTTTTTCTATTTCCCCCCCCTGAATGTGCCATCACACAGTAACATGAAATTATCCTAGCGGTGTAGCGCTACAAAAAGCACAGGAGGGCAACGTGCGAGAGGGTGCACATGGAAACCAGAAGGGTTTAAGTTTGTAGCTCTGTGTTTGTGAAGAGTGACTCTGTCCTCTGTAGAATGTCCTCTTCATCGCTCTGCGTTGGGGGAAAGGGTAGGGAGGGAGGTGGGGGGAGAACCAGAGGGTGCAAATGTGAAAGCACAGGGGGTAAGTTCATAACTCTGTTTGTGAAAAAAGAAGAAGAAGAAGAAGAAGAAGAAGAATGACTCTGCACTTGTTTTTTTTTTCCCTCCCCTTTTTGGAGGAGGGAGTCCCTAACATTATGGTATCCATCTGAGTCCACCAGGATTCGAACTCATAATCTGTTCATTGACAGTTGTAGCTTCTGCTTACTATACCATTCAGCCACATGGGTTTGGTACGTGTTTGGCAAGGTTGGGTACGTGTTCGGGAACCTTTTTATTTATTTATTTTACGTGTTACGAAGCTTGAATCTTCACTCTCATAACTTAGACGGGCCGGCTTACTTCATCAGTGTTAGCCAATGGCGCTGAATGAAAGTCGGGGACTATTCTCGGAAGGGATGTTTGAACCACCAGTACGTGGGAGTCTCTTTTTCGTGATGCAGATTCACAATTTTGCACTGTGCACCGAAAACAAAGGAACGATTAGCAGCAAGCCATTTTGGTCTGGTAGCCCTGTTCTCCCGATGAACCTGGAATGCTGCATTTTTTATTCTCAAGTTTGCCTGGGTGAGGTACTGGTGGTTTAAGGCGAAGGGTGTGTCCCCCTCCTTGACGAGTGGCAAGGTGGTCCATGTCTGCTGATAGTCCGGAGAGGGTGTGAGCCAGGTGGTTAACCTTGCCAATCTGTAGAGCCATCTGAGATGAGAGATCTCTCGCACATTACCGCTCTCGTTGGAAGTAGTAATGCCACTGATGTGTTGAGAATGACTTTGTAGTAAGTTCGTACACAATCCGAGCCCTTCCATAGCTATACCACAATGCTGTGTGACAGACTCTGAGCCCTCCTGTAGCTATATGATGATACTGTGTGACACACTGTGAGCCCTTCTGTCGCTACTCTGCTGTGCAACTCGGTACAAGCCCTTCTATACCTATATGACGAGCCTGTGTCACATAGTCTGAGCCCTTCTATAGACATATGATGCTGCTGTGTGACAAGAGATAAGTTTCTGACTCTGAGTTGTTAAACCACACCACTTCCTTAGTACATGCCAGCCATCGGACGCTGGGCCCTTTCGGAGGCTGCAGGCCGTCGATTTATTTTATCGACGGCGCGGGAGCCTCCTAAATTGTAGGAGAGGCTCAATCGGACTCTCAACTTGGCTGGGGCCATGTACTGGTGCTTTAAGGCTTGAGAGCCACTTAGTCTCGGCCCCTCTATGACTCTCATTATGCTGTGTGTTAGGGATAACCTTGGATAGCAGAAACTCGAAAAAAAAGAAAAAAAAAAGAAACGAGCAGAGCCATACGGCTCTGGCTCCATATCCATTCTGGATGTATGATTGTGAATTCTGAAATTGACTGAATAGATTCCAGCTCAGAATGTCAGGCTCTTTCTCCCC